AATTTTGTCACGCAACGTAAAACGTGACGAATATATATGTCCCGCGACTGTGGCAAGGAAAGGTTTTTTTAGATCAAGGCACTTGTAGACGCGATTTATAGTGGAAGTTGTTGTTCGCCCCGGACTGCTTCGATATGTATGTTTTGAATTGTATCCTGTGTTTACATTATTTTGGTGCTTTTCAACAAAAATATASATAATGGAAAATTTTAGATGATGTGTTATTCAGACAAGTTGAAAAGACCCTAAGAGACCCTCTATTTAGTCAATCCCTAGAGTGCTAACAAAAAATATCAATATTCGAATGAGTAAGACTGTCTTTGATTGTAATGACTGCTTTTTCAGCGTGTGGATTAGAATTAGGGAAATTCGATTGAAATAATAGGTTTTTAATATGGCGTGTGGACTATTTATTGGCAACTAAAGAAGGTTTAGCTTACCTCAATATGACAACAAGAAATGATTTCAATGACACAGGGCGATCTCTGTTGAGTGAAATCACGCACTTTTGAGTAAGTTCACGCCGTTTTTCCACCATTGCTGGGAAAACAACAATTCGGCGTTCACGTAAATGCGTAGAAAAGCTCACATGTCCGCCAAAAAGCTTTAGAGTGATCACTGGAAGATTTTGAACTGAACTTCAAATTGGAAAAGGTAGTCAACACAGTAAACATAGAGTAATTTGGATTGAGGAAGGAAATCCAGACCGCTAGCTTCGACAGTTATGGCATCCATTTTGCATACCCGCGACGCATTCTGGGACATATATATGATAATATGGTTGTGGCGCAATGCATTGTGGGACGACATGGATTTTCTACGCATAAATTTAGTGAGCGCGTGCTCATCGTGATGACGTCATTCCAATGTTTTGATAAAATATCATGAAAACGTCGTTTATCTCTTATAGCTCTAAAACAAAGTGAAGGATTCCCCTTTTTATTTCAATTTTTGAAATTACTTCAAAATAGCCTACTTTAGGAGAGAAATTTAAAAAATGACGTTGGGATCAAAACGAAATTTTGTGCAATGTAATAGAAAATTATAAAAGCTAAATAATTATTTGGTTATTTTCTAGAGTTCTGGCGAAAAAGGGACGATCAATTTGGGGTTTTTTTTCCAGTAAAATATGGCTTATTTTTGACCTAGCTTTCCATGTTTACGTTGTTCGCGCGTTTTTACCATAAAAAGAAATGAACGTTCACGCATTCTAACCACTAAACGAAGTCGTGACCCCCAATTTTTACTTTATTAATTTTATTTCTAGTTCAATGTACTTTTATCATGCAAAATTTTAAGAAATCTGACTTTTGCCCATGAACGTCCTTAAAGAGAAGAGTACTAAATTCACGGCATTATTTACAAAACGATGCATGAACTTGGCCTAACGAATTTTTAAAAGTGAGTCAAACAATTAAGTGTATCTCAAGAGTAATCAACATTGAAGTAATCAGTTCGTTTTTTTTTGTTGTTGTTGTTGTTGTTGTTTTTCAATGATAAAGGTCAAGGTGGCTCCTTGTTAATCTCAAAACAACATAAAGGGAATCAGTTATCCATGAAAAAAAGTTTCCGTATAATACTACAAGCGGGGAAAAAACGAAGTAGATTTTTTAATTTTTACATCGCAAAATGTCTGGGACATTGTGAGATGACATCTTTTTAAAAGTTAGCAGTTAGAAATAGATATTAAGTTAGATTTTTTTCTCTTAAACATTGAATCCTTGATTGCTTATTTGCTTCTTATTTTTATAGGAGCGAGGAGTTCTCAACCCTTGTAGTAATGGAGGAACGCTTATTTTGCTCTATTGGACAGGGAACTTCCAGTGTGCATGTTCGACCATGAATATCGGAAATTATTGTGGTAAGTGAAATTTTATGGTTTATAGTTTTATACTCTGTCTCGATTATTACCAATTTTGTTTTCCAAAGCGAAATGCACGGGACTCCTGCAAAAATATTATTATATGCTTATAAGCAGAAGAAGTTCACTGGTTCTATCCAAGTAAAATTAATGCCGATATTATATTTTCAGAATGGATTAAACTTAACACAAATCCAGTTCACTTGGAGGCCAAGAATGACAAATTCGGCCCATTCAATGCCATTCAGACTGGTCAAATTTTAAAGTTCAAACTCGTCTATATCTCTGGAGGGATGTCATGCTGGATCACTGAGCCTGGCTATGAGATCACAAAGTTTGGCTGTGGTCCTGGGCTTGCAGTTCTCATCACCAACACCTCTAACCTAATCATCTCCCCAAACCCATCATTCGTAAAACCATATATGAGCTACAATTTCCCAGGAGTTACAAGCAATGATACAGAAATAATTCTACCTGAGATAGACCCGCCATTACACGTGACAGCAGGACAAGAGTTCAGGCTGTGGTATGGAGAAGATCTTATGGACCTACCCGAAAGTGACAATATTGGAACATTGGACCTTGATGTCTATGCGTTTTATGCATAAGACGCCAAAATGCAGGAAATGGAACTGCTGAAGTGTAAATACACAAGAAACACCTTTAGAAAAACTAAAAACCCCCCAAAAAAAAAAAACAAAACAGATATTTAGATAGAAAATTTATTTCTTTTGTGCGTGTGCGTGTGCGTGTGCGTGTTCGTGTGCGTGTGCGTGTGCGTGTGCGTGTGTAGTGCTTATTCATTGGTGAGCCAGAGCCAGACCACTTACTTTTAGGATCCTAAGAAAGTGAAGTTTAATTGGTAAACTGTAAGAAGGGGTTTGTAGAATCTTTAAGGAGGGGTGCAGGGGTACAGGGTCATTTTGTAGTTTGTAGAATCTTTAAGGAGGGATGTAGGGGTACATGGGTCATTTTGGCAGTTTGTAGAATTTTGAAGGAGGGGTGTAGGGGTACATGAATCACTTTGTGGTTTGTAGAATCTTTAAGGAGGGGTGCAGGGGTACATGGGTCATTTTGTAGTTTGTAGAATCTTTAAGGAGGGATGTAGGGGTACATGGGTCATTTTGTAGTTTGTAGAAATTCTAAGAAGGGGTACAGGGTTTGATGGGTCATTTTGTGGTTTGTAGAATCTTTATAAGGAGGGGTACAGGTATACATGGGTCATTTTGTAGTTTGTAGAATCTTTAAGGAGGGGTGCAGGGTTACATATGGATTACTTCGTAAGAATATCGAAGCTATCAAATAACTAAATAAATCCATTCTATACTGGGAACAGTTTCGTTCATTTCAAGAATTAACGCATCTTCAGCATGTTTTTTAAAACTTATAATTGTGAACAAAACACGAAAGACCAATTTTATAAAGAGTTTTTTTAGCGTTTAGTGCAATCTCGGTTGGGATCGAATAATATTCATATGAAGGTGACAATGGAAAACCAAGCAATTTAAGCATATTCAATATATTTGTAATTAGAATTTTATCGGTTATTCAAGATGCTATAAAAGTCATATTGATATTAATTGGCGCACTCTGTTA